TCCCGATTTTTTAATTTCTAGATTTTCAATTTTTCGATTTTTTCAATTTTGCAATTTTTCAACTTTTCGAATCAAAAAATGGAAAAACTGTATAATTAATAAATCAAAAATGAAAAAACTTTGAAAAACCTAAAAATTAGAAATCAAGAACTTGAAAAACTGACTTAATTTCTTCTTTCAATTTTGATTTTTAATTTTTCAATTTTTTATTTCTTCAAATTTTCGATTTGCAATGTTTCGTTTCGGTTTTTTATTTTCTTTCTTTTACAATTTTTCAGTGTTCCGATTTTATAATTTTTTGTTTCAATTTTTCGTTTCTTCAATTTTCCGATTTGCAATGTTTCAATTTTTACATTATTAAAAAAAAGACCGTTGGGATCCCCGACAAGATTTTACATTGTTTAAAAAAAAAGACGGTTGGGGATCTAAGGAGGTTTTACAATATAAAAAAAAACAGTTGGGAGCCCAGAGAAGGTTTTACATTATTTAAAAAAAGGTCAGTTGGGATCCCTGAGGTTTTACATTATAAAAGAAAAACAGTTGGGACCCACGAGAAGGTTTTACATTATTTAAAAAGAAAGGCAGTTGGGATCCCTGAGGTTTTACATTATTAAAAAAAAGACGGTTGGGATCCCCGAGGTTTTACATTATTTAAAATGAAAAGACACTTGGAGTCCCCGAGAAGGTTTCACATTATAAAAAAAAAAAAACAGTTGGGACCCCCGAGGTTTTACATTATTTAAAAAAAAGGCAGTTGGGATCCCCGAGAAGGTTTTACATTATTAAAAAAAAAGCAGTTGGGATCCCCGAGAAGATTTTACATTGTTAAAAAAAAAGACGGTTGGGAACCCAAGGAGGTTTTACATTACAAAAAAAAAAACAGTTGGGACCCACGAGAAGGTTTTACATTATTTAAAAAGAAAGGCAGTTGGGATCCCTAAGAAAGTTTTACATTATTAAAAAAAAGACCGTTGGGATCCCCGAGGTTTTACATTATTTAAAATGAAAAGACACTTGGAGTCCCCGAGAAGGTTTCACATTATAAAAAAAAAAAAACAGTTGGGACCCCCGAGGTTTTACATTATTTAAAAAAAAGGCAGTTGGGATCCCTGTGAAGGTTTTACATTATTAAAAAAAAAGCAGTTGGGATCCCCGAGGTTTTACATTATAAAAGAAGTTGGGAGCCCAGAGAAGGTTTTACATTATTTAAAAAAAGGTCAGTTGGGATCCCTGAGGTTTTACATTGTTTAGAAAAAAAAGACGGTTGGGACCCCAAGGTTTTACATTATAAAAAAAAACAGTTGGGCCCCACGAGAAGGTTTTACATTATAAAAGAGAAACAGTTGGGATCTCTGAGAAGGTTTTACATTATTAAAAAAAATACAGTTGGGACCCCCGCGAAAGTTTTACATTATTTAAAAAAAAGGACAGTTGGAAACCCCGAGAAGGTTTTACATTATTAAAAAAAAGACAGTTGGGACCCCCGAGAAGGTTTTACATTATTTAAAAAAAGGCAGTTGGGATCCCCGACAAGGTTTTGCACTGTTTAAAAAAAAGACGTTTAGGACCCCAAGAAGGTTTTACATTATAAAAAAAAACAGATGCGACCCCCGAGAAGGTTTTACATTATAAAAGAAAAACAGTTGGGAACCCCGAGAAGGTTTTACATTATAAAAAGAAACAGTTGGGACCCACGAGAAGGTTTTACATAATAAAAGAGAAACAGTTGGGAGCACTGAGAAGGTTTTATATTATTTAAAATGAAAAGATACTTGGAGTCCCCGAGGTTTCACATTATAAAAAAATACAGTTGGAAATCCCGAGAAGGTTTTATATTATAAAAAAAAAAACTTTTGGGACCCCCGAGAAGGTTTTACATTATAAAAGAAAAACAGTTGGGAACCCCGAGGTTTTACATTATACAAAGAAACAGTTGGGACCCACGAGAAGGTTTTACATAATAAAAGAGAACAGTTGGAAGCCCTGAGAAGGTTTTACATTATTTAAAATGAAAAGACACTTGGAGTCCCCGAGAAGGTTTCACATTATAAGAAAAAGGACAGTTGGAAACCCCGAGAAGGTTGACATTATAAAAAAAAGACAGTTGGGACCCCCGAGAAGGTTTTACATTATTTAAAAAAAAGGCAGTTGGGATCCCCGACAAGGTTTTACACTGTTTAAAAAAAAGACCCCAAAAAGGTTTTACATTATAAAAAATAACAGATGCGACCGCCGAGAAGGTTTTACATTATAAAAGAAAAACAGTTGGGAGCCCCGAGAAAGTTTTAAATAAAAAAAAAAAAAACACGAGAAGGTTTTATATTATAAAAGAGAAATAGTTGGGAGCCCTGAGAAGGTTTCACATTATAAAAAAAAAGGACAGTTGGAAACCCCGAGAAGATTTTACATTACTAAAAAAAGACAGTTGGGACCCCCGAGAAGGTTTTACATTATTTAAAAAAAAAGACAGTTGGGATCCCCGACAAGGTTTTACACTGTTTAAAAAAAAAGACGTTTGGGACCCCAAGGTTTTACATTATAAAAAAAAACAGATGGGACCACCGAGAAGGTTTTACATTATAAAAGAAAATCAGTTGGGAGCCCCGAGAAAGTTTTACATTATAAAAAAAAAACAGTTGGGACCCACGCGAAAGTTTTACATTATAAAAGAGAAACAGTTGGGAGCCCTGAGAAGATTTTACATTATTTAAAATGAAAAGACACTTGAGGACTCCGAGAAGGTTTCAGATTAAGTATTAAAAAAAAAGACAGTTGGGACCCCCCAAAAGGTTTTACATTATTTAAAAAAAAAAATGGTTGGGACCCCAAGAAGGTTTTACATTATTAAAAACAAAAGACAGTTGGGACCCCAGAGGTTTTACATTATAAAAAAACAATTGGCACCCCGAAAAGGTTTTACATTATAAAAAGAAACAGTTGGGACCCACGAGAAGGTTTTACATTATTTAAAAAAAAAGCAGTTGGGATCCCCGACAAGGTTTTACATTGTTTAAAAAAAAAGAGGGTTGGGAGCCCTGAGAAGATTTTACATTCTTTAAAATGAAAAGACACTTGAGGACCCCGAGAAGGTTTCAGTTTAAGTATTTAAAAAAAAAACAATTGGGACCCTCCAAAAGGTTTTAATTATTTAAAAAAAAGACGGTTGGGACCCCAAGAAGGTTTTACATTATTAAAAACAAAAGACAGTTGGGACCCCAGAGGTTTTACATTATAAAAAAAAACAATTGGCACCCCCAGAAGGTTTTACATTATTAAAAAAAAAAGTTGGGACCCCGGACAAGGTTTTATTTGCATTATTTAAAAAAAGGGCAGTTTTGATCAAAAAGGGCAGTTTTGATCCCTGAGGTTTTACATTATTTAAAAAAAAAAGACAGTTGGCAACCCCGAGAAGGTTTTACATTATTAAAAAGAAGACAGTTGGGAGCCCCGACAAGGTTTTACATTATTAAAAAAAAGGACACTTGGGGACCCCGAGGTTTCGGATTATTAAAAAAAAGACAGTTGGGACCCCCGAGAACGTTTTACATTCTTAAAACAAATAGTTGGGCCCCCAGGTTTTACATTAAAAAAAAATACAGCTGGGACCCGCGAGGTTTTATAAAAAAAAAACAGTTGGGACCCCCGAGAGAGTTTTACATTATAAAAGAAAAACAGTTGGGAGCCCCTAGAAGGTTTTACATTATTTAAAAAAAAAGACACTTGGGGACCCCGAGAAGGTTTCAGATTATTAAAAAAAAAGACAGTTGGGACCCCCCAGAGGGTATTACATTCTTAAAACAAATAGTTGGGGCCTTCGAGGTTTTACCTTCTGCAAAAAAAAAACAGAGAGTTGGAGCCCCCGAGGAGGTTCCACCTTCTAAAAAGACATTAGGATTCCCGAGGTTTCACCTTATTAAAAAAAGACAGTTGGGGCTACCGAGGTTTCATCTTAAAAAAAAACTCTTTTTCCGACTCCAACTCTGTAGTTGGAGCCCCCGAGAAGGTTTTACATTCTTAAAAAAGGCATTTAGAGCCCCCGAAGAAGTTTCACCTTCTAAAAAAATACATTGCAGTCCCCGAGGTTTCAGAAAGATTTTTGGAACCCCCCCCCCTCTCAGAAGGTAAAAAAAGACAATTGGGGCGCCCGAAAAGGTTTCATTCTCCCTTCTTAAAAAGAAAACAGTTACGGCCCCTGACGAGGTTTCACCTTCTTTAAGAAAAGACATTTTGGACCCTTGGGGTTTCACATTCATTAAAAAAAAACCAGTTGGTGTCCCAGAGGTTTCACATTCTTTACAAAAAACAAGACAATTAGGGACTCCAACAAGGTTTCATCTTCTAAAAATAGGCAGTTAAAGCCTAGAAGATTTTTGGAGCCCCTGAGGTTCACAAAAAAAAAAAACCGTTAGGCTCCCGAGAAAGTTTCATATTCTAAAAAAGAAGTTAGCGCCCTAGGTTTCACTCTTAAAATAATGTTTCGAAGATTATTTCAACAGAAGTTTCTTCGCCCTTGAACTACACCCAGTTCTTTAAAATCTTATAAAATTTAATTTTGCGATTTTGCGATTTTCGCTTAATTAATTAATTAACGGGAAAAGTGTAGATATTCTCAATTTCTCAGTACATGCTTGACTTCGACTATCTATTTATGTTTATACTCGAAAACTTCAACTATTGGCACGTTCAAACTATAAGCATTAGCGGTTAAAAGCAAATGAAATTCGATTTTTTCTCCTCAACCCAGAAGAGATGCATCATTTAATTAATTAATTAACCACACTCGGTGTTTTTCCCAAAAACACTCATAAATTTAGCAAAATTTCGCACCATCCGTTAAATTGTAAAATATTGTTACAATTGTTTTTTCCAAAAAATCTGGATGCCAAGGGTAAAAACTGAGCACAGATTCATAAACCATAAGTGAAAGCGTGACAGACAGACGGAAACGGGTGACCTCAGGAAGTAAAAAGGAAATATAACTTTCGTTACAAAAATCAACCTTTCAGTTTCAGTGACACTATATTTACAAATTTTGAAGTCATGGTGACAAGATTTTCAATATAGTCACACTTTATCTACCCATCTTTCAATGAGTCAAATTTGTAGAAAAAAAGTGTGTGCAATTCGTGCAGTAAACTTCTCGATTGTTCTATAATCCGCGCACAGTATAGTTTTCAGTGCACTCTCGTTTTTGAACTCTGACGAAAACACAAATTTTTTCCATCGTTGTGTGAAATCATTCAACAAAAACAACACCAATTTACATTGTGGTTGCAATAACACAAAACGGACTCCAGAGTACTCGTTCATCAAGTATTCAACCTCTCCTCTTTTATGTGTACTGGTAACTGTAAGCCGCCTTGTGAATTTTTTGGCGTTAGAACATCCTCAGCGTCCTGTAGTTCAATCTTCACGTCTTCTTCCACAGAACTATCTTCAACTTCCATTTCGCTTTGTCCCGACTTCTTTTCCGGAAAATGACCTTCGGCCATCGTTATCGACGCCCAGCCGCCGCTCCTTTTCAAAAAATCGCACGTCCGTCTAAAGCAGTACCCGTTGTAACTGGACGGACTTTCTAAGTTCAAGTACTTAGCGACTTGACTCGGGACTCGCCCGAGCGTGTTAATCCCGACTAGTTGGTTCGTGCACTTCCCGACTTTATAACACATGAAAAATCGTCTATAGATGGTATGTGGGGGCCTCAATGCCGCGTATTTTCTATAAATATCGATCATATCCACTTCCTCGTTCACGTTATCGATAATAAAAAACCGCTTTCTGTGTGTGCTAATCTGTGGTACATTCACTACTAAACTCGCTCCGATTTCTTGGATGTTGTCGAGCGTCATCTGTACCAACTCCTCTCTGCGGCAGCCCCCGGCAACGCCAAAAATCAACGCCACCTAAATTCCAATCGATTAATAATCAATGCAACACAAACACTGCTAATTACCTTCATCATCAAAAACTTGTCGTCCGGTGCTTCGGCGAGGAAGGCGTTCATTTGACTCCTCGAGAAAGTCCTCGACTTCTCCGAACAAAAACCAATCGACTTGTTTTTCAAAAACTGCGTCACCTTTGTGAACACCGCGATATTGGCTTCCTTTCGTACGGCGAGTGACGTTTTGATCTTCGAGTACTCCGAGTACAGCGACGAAGACTTCAAGTGCTCGGATCTCTCGGCAAAGTATGCGAGAAGAACGTTCTCCGTTATTTCTTTAGCTCCTTGCTTCTTGCACCAGTTTTTGAAGTGAACGTACGACACTTCGTATCGTTTCTTTGTTTTTTCCGGCAACAAACTGTACGTTGCTTTGCCTGTAGGACGAGCAACGTCTGGAAGAGTACCAAAAAGAGTCACCCAGGGCACCTCTTCGCTCGGGTTCGGCGCGATTTATTTACAAAAATGGTACTTCGTTTTTTTAAAACGAAAAGAGTGCGTAAAATATGCGTTTTCTTTTGTTTGTTACAAGATTGTACATAAAACGCTGCTTCTCCCACTTGCACCGTCACTGTGTCAACGAAATTTGGCCGTGCAGTACAAAACAAAACAAAGGTCGTTTAACTTGGGTGGGTATTTTGTGTTCTGCGGAGATTAAATCAGTTGAGCATGTTGTACAGTGGTGTATTATATATACAGGGCGTTCTTGAAAAAGCCGCAAAATTATACTCATTAGACGAATTATTATTTGTTAGTTTTTGAGTTTATATTGGCGCACGAACGAACAATATTCCACTATTTTACTCACATTATTATTTTTAGTGTCCCATCACTTAAAGCAGGAAAAATACAAAATTTCAAGCAGAATTTTTTCACGTCTTATTTCTATTAAAGTCGACTATATCGACTTCTTATTTACTTACTTTGACAAAATTGACGCATTTTTAAATGGTTTGCATAACTCGCGTGCGCTCACAAACAGCACATTGAAAAATTGGTCGAAGGATATTTCGACAGAACTTCCCTCGTCCCTAAAGTATAGCCCAACAAATTCCGCTTCTTTGAAAATTTATAAAAAAAAAAATGCGAATTTTTTTTCTGATAATTTCTATGGAATAAAAACCAGTGGCGTACCACTCCTGCAGTTTATTTTGACTTGAATTTTTCAGTTGTCCAATTTTTCTTTTTTTTGTCTTTTGAATTTTTGGATTTTGCAATTTTTCGTTTCGGTTTTTTATTTTCTTTAATTTTTTAATTTTTTGTTTTTTCAAGGCTCTGATTTAATTTTTTTTTTCAAAGTAAAAATTCAAAATTTTTGGGTTTTTCAACTTTTAGATTTTTTAATTTTTCGTTTTTTCGGGTTCAGACTTTTCAGTTTTTCGATCTTTCAATTTTTCATTTCTTTAATTTTTGATTTGCAGTTTTTTAAGTTATCATTTTAAAAATGTATTTAATAATAATTATATTTTTTTAAAAATTAATTTTTAACTGAACAATTTTTTAATTTTTCCATTTTTCAATTATTGGATTGTAAATCTTTTTCAATCAATTTTCCGGTTTTTAATTTTTCAATTTCTGGATATTTACTTTGTCAGTTTTTCTTTCTTTCAATGTTATGGTTTCGATTTTACAATTTTTGGGTTCTCGACTTTTTCGATTCGATTCGTTTTCTCTTTTTCCCATTTTTTTATTTTTAAGTTTCTGAAATTTTAGTTTTTAATGTTACGACATTTTTCGTTTTTCAATTCTTCGATTTGCAATTTTCTGATTTTCCAGTTTTTCAAATTTGCAGTTTTTCGATTTTTGACTTCTAGACATTTCTCAATTTTTCGATTCTTCAAATATAAGATTTCCCGATTTGTCAATTTCTCGACTTTTCGATTTATCAGTTTTTCAATTCGTGAATTTTTCGGTTTTTCAAGTTTTCGATTTTTTTAAATTTTGATTTCTCAATTTACCTATATTTCAAAGTGGGATTTTTCGAATTTTTCAATTTCTCAATTGTTCATTGTTCCTTCGATTTTTGAATTTTTCTATTCTTTAATTTTGGGATTTTTTAATATTTCGACTCATCAATTTTTCAATTTCTCGAGTCTTCAAATTTTCTTCAATTTTTTTCATTCTTCGATGTATCAGTTTTACGATTTTTGAATTTTTCGTTTTTTTGATTTCTCGATTAATCGATTTTTTGGGTTTTCGATTCTTCAATTTTTTTCAATTTTCACGGTTTTAATTATTTAATTTTTCGAGTTTTCGATTTCTAGGTTTTTAATTTTTTTTATGTTTCCGATGTCTCTATTCTTTACCTTTTCGATTTTAAATTTTTCGATTTTTGAATTATAAATTTTTCAATTTTTCCGTTTTTCGTTTCTTAAGTTTCCGTTTTTCGTTTATTAAGTTTTTTTCATTTTTCGATGTATTAGTTTTTCGATGTATCAATTTTTCGATGTATCAGTTTTACGATTTTTGAATTTTTAAATTTTTCGATTTTGGGATTTTTTAATTTTTCGATATTTCAGTGCTGGGACTTTTCACTTTTTGGATTTTTCAAATATAAGATTTCTCTCTCGATTAATAAAATTTTTGATTTTTCGACTTTTCAATTTCTGGACTTATTGATTTTTCAGTTTTTCAATTCGTGAATTTTTAGATTTTTCATATTTTTGATTTTTCAATTTTTCAATTTTTTTAAATTTCGATTTCTCAATTTATCTATATTTCAATTCGTCATTGTTCCTTTGATTTTTGAATTTTTCTATCTTCAATTTCGAGATTTTTGAATATTTCGACTCTTCAATTTTTCGATTTCTCGATTTTTGAATTTTCGAGACTTCAAATTTTCTTCAGTTTTTTTTATTTTTCGATTTATCAGTTCTTCGATGTATCAGTTTTACGATTATTGAATTTTTTGTTTTTTTTTATTTCTCAATTTCTCGATTAATCGATTTTTTGGGTTTTCGATTTTTCGATTTCTCTACTTGTTAATTTTTCGATTTTTTAGTTTTCAATTCTTCAATTTTTTTCAATTTTGATGGTTTTAATTATTCAATTTTTCGAGTTTTCGACTTCTAGGTTTTTCAATTTTTTTATGATTTTTTACTTTTTCGATTTTTGAATTTAAAATTTTTCAATTGTTCCGTTTTTCGATTTCTTGATGTTTCGCTTTCTCGATTTTTCAATTATTTACATTTTCTTAGGTTTTTTTCATTTTTCGATGATCAGTTTTACGATTTTTGAATTTTTGAATTTTTCGATTTTTTTATTCTCAATTTCCTCGTTAATCGGGTTTCTGGGTTTTCGATTTTTCAATTTTTTTAAATTTCGATTTCTCAATTTAGCTATACTTCAATTGGGATTTTTCGGATTTTTCAATTCTTCATTGTTCTTCGATTTTGAGATTTTTAATCTTTCGATGCTTCAATTTTTTGATTTCTCGATTTTTCAATTTTTCGATTCTTCAAATTTTCTTCAATTTGTTTCATTTATCGATTTATCAGTTTATGATTTTTGAATTTTTCGATTTTTTGATTTCTCAAGTTCTCCATGAATCGATTTTTTGGGGTTTTCGATTTTTCGATTTCTAGGTGTTTCAATTTTTGAAGTTTCAGTTCTGAGATTTTTCAATTTTTCGATATTTCAGTGTGGAGATTTTCAAATTTGGGATTAATCAAATTTTTCGTTTTTCGACTTTTCGATTTTTCAGATTTTCAATTCGTGAATTTTTCGATTTTTCAGGTTATTGATTTTTCAATTTTTCGATTTTTTTAATTTTCGATTTCTCTATTTATCTATATTTCAATTGGGATTTTTGAGATTTTTCAATTTTTCAATTCTTCATTGTTTCTTCGATTTTTGAATTTTCCATTCTTCAATTTTGAAATTTTTTAATATATTGATTCTTCAATTTTTCAATTTCTTTTTTTTTACTTTTTCGAGTTTTTTTACTTTTTCAATTTTTTTTTTTACTTTTTCGATTTTTTTTTTACTTTTTCCATTTTAAATCGTTCGATTTTTGAATTTTATATTTTTCAATTTTTCGAGTCTTCAAATTTTCTTCAATTTGTTTCATTTACCGATTTATCTGTTTTACGATTTTTGAATTTTTGAATTTTTCGATTTTTTTTGATTTCTCAATTTCTCGGTTAATCGATTTTTTGGTTTTTCGATTTTTTAATTTCTAGGTTTTTCAATTTTTTGATGTTTCTGATGACTCGATTTTTTACTTTTTCAATTTTAAATTGTTCGATTTTTGAATTTTATTTTTTTCAATTTTTTAGTTTTTCGGTTTTTTGATGTTTCGCTTTCTGGATTTTTCAATTTTTCGATTCTTGATGTCTTCTTCAATTTTTTTTTCATTTTTCGATTTCTCAGTTTTTGGATGTATCAGTTTTACGATTTTTGAATTTTTTGATTTCTCAACTTCTCCATTAATCAACTTTTTTGGATTTTCGATTTTTCAATTTTTAAGTGTTTCAATTTTTTGATGTTTCAGTTCTGAGATTTTTCAATTTTTCGATATTTCAGTGTGGAGATTTTTCAAATTTTGGATTAAATTTTTCGTTTTTCGACTTTTCAATTTTTCAGATTTTCAATTCGTGAATTTTTCGATTTTTCAGGTTTTTGATTTTTCAATTTTTCGATTTTTCGATTTCTAGGTGTTTCAATTTTTCGATATTTCAGTGTGGGGCTTTTTCAAATTTTGGATTAATCAAATTTTTCGTTTTTCGACTTTTCAGGTTTTTGATTTTTCAATTTTTCGATTTTTTAAATTTTCGACTTCTCTATTTACCTATATTTCAATTGGGATTTTTGAGATTTTTCAATTTTTCAATTCTTCATTGTTTCTTGGATTTTTGAATTTTTCTATTCTTCAATTTTGAGATTTTTTAATGTATTGATTCTTCAATTTTTCGATTTCTTTTTTTTTACTTTTTCAATTTTAAATCTTTCGATTTTTGAATTTTAAATTTTTTGATGTTTCCATTTTTTCGATTTTTCAAAAATTCATTTTTTCATTTTTTTCAATTTTGAGGCTTTTAATTATTCAATTTTTCGAGTTTTCGATTTCTCCACTTGTCGGTTTCGATTTTTCAGATTTCAATTCTTCTATTTTTTGCAATTTTGACGCTTTTAATTATTCAATTTTTCGACTTTTCGATTTCTAGGTTTTTCGACTTTTCGATGTTTCAGTTTTGAGGTTTTTCAATTTTTCGATATTTGAGTTTTGGCATTTTTCAATATTTCCATTCCTCCATTTTTCAATTTTTGACGTTTCTAAATTTTCAATTCTTCGATTTCTCAGTTTCCCGATTGATCTATTTTTTGATTTTTGACTTTTCGATTTCCCGATTTTTTGAACTTCCAATTTAAAGAAACATTGAAAAAATAAAGGAAACGACGAAATGAAAAATTGATAAAATATCAAAAACTTGAAAAACTGAAGATACGAAAAATAGAAAAATCGAAACTAAAAATTCGAAAAATGGAAAATTGTATATCGAAAAATTCCCTAATTGAAAATTGCAAGTCGAAAAATTGAAGAAACGCAAAATTGCAAAATTTGGAAGGCGAAAAATTAAAGAAAATGAAAAACCGAAAATTGTGATATCAAAAAATTGATAGAAGATAAATACTCGTAAATTCAGATTTCTCTATAAATTATAATATTTGATTTTGTGAATTTTATTTTTTTATGATAGCCTTTATAAGCTAAAATTAAGATATGTACGTAACGTTATAGTGTTCTGAATTATAGAAAATTATATAATGTTGATTTCTCTTCCAAAAATCTGGATGTCTTGAGAACAATCGGTCCAGTAGTTTCGAAGATTATCTGTCTAATAAAAATCCGGACAACGGCAGACAGAAAGACAGACAAACAGAAACGGGAGACCTATTTCTTCGTACTCTAGGGTCACCAAACGTCGAAAAAACACTAAATTAGCTACACTAGATTATAATACTCCCTTAGCTTACAATCGGGAGACAAAAAATACAAAAAATCCCCAAAACTCCCATTTTTCCCTGTCGACGCCAGTGATGAGACACCTCTACACACTACAACCCCCATCGGTTACACAAATTCCGTGACCAAAGCTCCAACTGTGTTAAAAAACAACCCTTCCGCTCGAAAACCCCAAACCCCCAACTCCACCAAATCAAACCACGAACCCACCTGGTTGTGTCGCGAGCGTGGCCTTGACGGCATCGGCGATCGCGTCGTAACTCGTGTCCTCCATCTCCTGCCCGCCCTCGTCCACGAAAATGATCCCCTCGCCCTCGTTCTCCTCCACCTCCATCACCTCCCGCTTCATCGACTTTAACGTGCACGCGTCCTTGTTGACGAGTTCGGCGTCGGCGGGCAGGGTGATGCTCTCGGGGTCGTCCTCGGGCTCGGGGTCCGGCTGGATGTACGCCACTTGCGCCACGCCGACGAGGTCCTCCTCCGTGCTCGGTTCCTCCTTGTTCTCCACGTCGTCTTGCTTCTCTTCGCTCGTGCTCTCCTCGGGATTGGAGTTGTCGTTGTCTTCGCTCGCGGTGAGGTCGACGTCGCCGATCTTCGCCTGCAGGCTGCGCAGGTGCTGGCGGAGTTTCATGTCGGAGCTCTCGCATTTTTTGCGGAAGTTGTAGGATTTTTCGAGCTGGAATTTACAGGGGTGGCAGATTTTGTTGGGGAGGCCGTCGCCCTCGAAGACCTGGAAGGGGGTGGAACGGCTTGAATTAGTGTGGTATGTTTAGTAAAAGTATGTTGTGGTTTCATAAGACAGTGGTATAGTACTAAAAAGTATTTTTTTCGAAATTAAAGAAAAACTTAAAGTTGTGTTGTACTTTGTATTTATTTGAAAATTAATATTACGCAATCGTTATTTGTTCCAAGACATGTTTATTTTGGATATGTCATGAATTTAGATTTAATACAGAGATACATTTTTGTTCAAGTCAGGTCAGATTAAGTTAAGTCAAGTAACGCCAAGTCAAGCCAAATCAAGCCAAATCAAGCCAAGTCGTCAGGTTAAAACAAGGCCAGATTAGACCATCTGGTCAAGTCAAGCCAAAATCAGGTCAAGTCAAACCAAAATCAAGTCAAGTCAAACCAAAATCAAGTCAGGTCACATCAAAACCAAGTCAGGTCAAAATCAGGTCAAGTCAGGCCAAAATTAAGTCATGTCAAGTCAAAGTCAGGTCTAGTCAGACCAAAATCAGGTCACATTTTATTGTTCAATTTTTCGATCCTTTAATTTTTCATTTCTTCAAATTTTCGACTTGCAATTTTTCATTTCGGTTTTATAATTTTTTTTCAATTTCAGTTTTGTCTTTTTCGTTTCTTGAATTTTACGATATGCAACTTTTCGAATTTCATTTCAAATTTTTTCAAATTTTCTTTCAACTTTTGGATGTTCCAATTCACTCAAAATTGTTTTAATTTCGTTTCAGATTTTTGTTTCCTTTAATATTTCAATTTTTCGGTTGTTCAATGCTCTGATTGTATATAATTTTAATTTTTTTCAACGCGAAAACCTACAATTTTTGGGTTTTTGAACTTTTAGATTTTTAAATTTTTCGTTTTCTCAAATTTAGATTTTTCAAGTTTTCGATGTTTCAATTTTTTATGTCTTCAGTTTTTGATTTTCAGTTCTAGTTATCATTTTAAATATGTTATCTAATAATTACAATAAAAAAAAACCTACTTCTTCAACTTTCCGACCTTTGAATTTTTCCATTCTTCAATTATTGGATTTTAAATCTTTTTTTCAATTTTTTGGTTTTTAATTTTTCAAATTCTCGATATTTACGTTGTCAATTTTTCAATCTTTCAATGTTAAAGTTTTTCGACTTTACAATTTTAACCATTCTATAATTTTTCGATTTTACAGTTTTTGAGTTTTAAAATCTTTCGAGTTTTTTCTTCTTTCCATTTTTTTTTTCGATTTATAAGTTTCTGAATTTTTAGTTTTTCAATCTTTCGATTTTTTTGTTTCGATTCTTCAATTTGCAATTTCCCGATTTTCCAGTTTTTCAATTTTTGGTTTTTTCAGTGTTTCACTTTTTCCGACTTTTGAATTTTTCGACATTTCAACTATCGATTTCTCAATTTTTCGATATTTCAATTTCTCGATTTTCAATTGTTCAATTATCAATTCAAATTTAAGAATCCTCGATTTTTAAAATTTTTGGTTGTTCGATTTTTCGATTTCTCGATTTTTGAGTTTTTTGATTAGTGAATTTTTCGATTTTTCAATTGTTCAATTCTACGATTTTTCAGGTTTTTGATTTTTCAATTTTTCGATTTCTCAATTTATGGATACATATTTCAATTGAGATTTTTGGGAGTTTTCAATTTTTCGATTCTTCAAATTTAGGATTTTTTGATTCCTGAATTTGTCGATTAATCAAATTTTTGGTTTTCCGACTTTTCGATTTTTGGATTTTAAATTTTTCAGTTTTTCGATTTTTTGATGTTTTTATTTCTCGATTTTTCAATTTTTCGATTCTTCAAATTTTGTTTTCCACTCCAAAATTTTCCGATGTATGTTTTACGATTTTTCAATTTTTCGATTCTTCAATTTTTCATTTTTCAATTTTTGACGTTTCTAAATTTTCGATTTTTCGATTTCCCAATTTCTGGATTAATAGATTTTTTTGGTTTTTCGATTTTCCGATTTTTCCACTTGTCGATCTTTCGATTTTTCAGTTTTCGATTTCTAGGTTTTTCAATTTTTTGATTTTCCAATTTTGCAGTTTTTCGATTTTTTGATGTTTCTATTTCTCGGTTTTTCAATTTTTCAAGTTTTCAAAATTTCAATTTTTTCCATTTTTCGATTTCTCAGTTTTAGGATGTTTTAATTTTTCGATTCTTCAATTTTTCTGTTTTTGATGTTTCTAAATTTTCGATTTTGTAATTTCTCAACTTCTCGATTAATCGATTTTTGGTTTTTCTCCACTTTTTCAGTTTTCAATTCTTCAATTTTTTTCAATTTTGAGGCTTTTAATTATTCAATTTTTCGATTTTAAGACTTTTCGATTTCTAGGTTTTTCAATTTATCAATATTTGAGTTTTGGCATTCTTCGATTTTTCAGTTTCTCGATTGATCTATTTTTGATTTTTGATTTTTCGATCTCCCGATTTTTTAAACCTCCCAATTTTTCAATTATTAAATTTTTCCATTTTTCAGGCTTGTGATTTTTCCACTTTTAGATTTCGGTATTTTATTTGAGATTTTTGGGATTTTTCAATTTTTTTTTTCATTTTTTAATTTCTCAATTTTTCGATTCTTCAATTTTTCATTTTTCAATTTTTGACGTTTCCAAATTTTCGATTTTTCAATTTCTATATTAATCGATTTTTTGGTTTTCCGATTTTTAGATTTCTTCATTTGTCAATCTTTCGTAATTTCCACATTTTGATTTTTAGGTTTTTCAATTTTCCGATTCTTCAGTTTTGAAATGTTTTAATTCAATCCTTCAATTGTTCTAGTTGTCCGTCTTTTACTTTTTAGATTTTTGAATTTTAAATTTTTAAATTTTTCAGTTTTTCGATTTTTTGATGTTTCAATTTCTCGGTTTTTCAATTTTTCGATTCTTCAAACTTTCTTCAATTTTATTCATTTTTCGATGTATCAGTTTTACTATTTTTCAATTTTACAATTTTTCAATTTTTCGATTTCTCAGTTTCTCGATTGTTCTTTTTTTGATTTTTTACGTTTTTGTTTTAAATGTTTCGATTTTCCAATTTTTTCGATTTTGCAATTTTTTTTTTTTCAGTTTTATCATTTTTTCCGATTTTTGATTTCGCGACTTTTCAATTATGGATTTCTCAATTTTTCTATATTTCAGTTTTGGAATTTAAAGTCTTTTTATTCTTCAGTTTTTCGATATTTCAATTTCTCGATTTTCAATTGTTCGATACTTCAGTGTTGGTTTTTCGACTTTTCGATTTCTCGATTTTTCGGTTTTTAAGTTTTCCCATTCGTGAATTTTTCGATTTTTGGAAATTTTCAATTTTTCAATTCTTCATTGTTGGATTTTTCAATTTCTCGATTTTTTACTTTTTTGATTTTAAACTTTACGATTTATGAATTTTAAATTTTTCAATTTTTCAGTTTTTCAATTTTTCGATTCTTCAGATTTTCTTCAGTTTTATTCATTTTTCGATGTATCAGTTTTACGACTTTTCAATTTTTTGTTTCTTCAAAGTTTCATTTTTCAATTTTCGACGTTTCTAAATTTTCGATTTTTCCATTTTCCAATTAATCGATTTTTTGGTTTTTTGATTTTTCGATTTCCCCACTTGTCGATCTTTCGATTTTTCAGTTTTCAATTCTTCAATTTTTTTTAATTTTGACACTTTTAATTGTTCAATTTTCGATTTCTAGGTTTTTCAATTTTTCGATGTTTCAGTTTTGACATTTTTCAATTTTTCAATTCTTCTATTTTTCGATATTTGAGTTTTTGATTTTCCAGTTTTTCAATTTTTCAATTTTCCATTTTTTTTAGTTTTTCATTTTTTCCGATTGTTGATTTCTCGACCTTTCAACTATCGATTTCTCAAATTTTCGATTTTTCAGTATTGGGATTTTTCAATTTATCGATTAATCAAATATTTGGTTTTTCGACTTTTCGATTACTCGGTTTTTCGAGTTGTCAGTTTTTCAATACGTAAATTTTTGGATTTTTCAGGTTTCTGATTTTTTAATTTATCGATTTCTCAATTTACCGACATTTCAACTGGGATTTTTGAGATTTTTCAGGTTTCCAATTTTTCAATTTCTCGATTTTTTACTTTTTCGATTTTAAATTTTTGAATTTTTTTGTTTTTCGATTTTTTGATGTTTCGATTTCTCGATTTTTTAATTTTTCGATGTATCAGTTTTACAATTGTTCAATTATTCAATTTTTCCAGTTCTCAATTTCTCGATTAATCGATTTTTCAGTTTCGAATTCTTCGATTTTTCTCAATTTTGACGCTTTTAATTATTCAATTTCTTCCATTTTTTAATTTTTCAATTTTTGACGTTTCTAAATTTTTAATTCTTCCATTTCTGTTTCGCCATTGATCGATTTTTGACTTTCCAATTTCCCGATTTTTCAGGTTTTTGATTTTTCAATTTTTCGATTTCTCAATTTACCGGTATTTCAATTGGGATTTTTGGGATTTTTCAATTTTTCATTGTTTCTTCGATTTCTCGTTTTCTCGATTTTTTACTTTTTGGATATTCCAGTTTTTCAATTTTGCAATTTTTCCTTGTTTTAGTTTTTCATTTTTTCCGATTGTTGCTTTCTCGACCTTTCAACTATCGATTTCTCAATTTTTCAATTTTTCAGTGTTGGGATTTTTCAATTTATCGATTAATCAAATATTTGGTATTTCGACTTTTCGATTACTCTGTTTTGATTTTTCAGTTTTCCAGACGTAAATTTTTGGATTTTTCAGGTTTCTGATTTTTTAAATTTTCGATTTCTCAATTTACCGACATTTCAACTGGAATTTTGAGACTTTTCAGTTTTTCAATTCTTCATTGTGAATTTTTCGATGTACCAATTTTACAATTATTCGATTTTTCCATTTCTCAATTTCTCGATTAATCGATTTTTCAGTTTTCAATTCTTCCATTTTTTTCAATTCTGACGCTTTTAATTATCCAATTTTTCAATTTCTAGGTTTATCCATTTTTTAATTTTTCAATTTTTGACGTTT